AGAAATTATTAATGGAATAATCTATATTAATATACTGTATTATATTAATATAATATACTAATATATTATATTTTTAATGTACATTAGTCGACATCTTGTCGACATAATAGGAAAAACTGTATTTTTTTTTGTTATTTGGACCGATTTGGTCGACACTTCCGAAATATAGGAAATGTCAACCGACATAATGTAATTTTTATATTACCATCCATTTTCACGTCGGTGAGCCTCGACATCGACATATGTCAAGCGACATTAACGACATTTGGCAACATTTGAAACCATGATGGAGTTCACCAACCACGACACCAATAGGAGATTCTCTTGCATCCACTTCTCATACTTCGGATCATTAGGATTTGGCTAAACTTCTACTCCCACGAGGAAACCAAATTTCCCATACCCCCCATCCCCCCACCTCCATGGACATGCAGCAAATTGCAGTGTATAAACTATTCACAAGTTCGGAAGGGAAAAAAAAGAATCAGAAACTCCAGAATAATAGTAGCCAATTGTTATTCCTCTCCCCAATCTCCACATGTTTCCATTATGTCCAAAGGCAAGAATGCATAAGATTATCTTTGAAACTTTCACTTGGAATCTCTACTAGGAAGTGTTGTGAAGTCATAAGCTCCTAGCTATCAAATTTAATCAATGTGACAAGGACCGTAGCCAGTGTACCCCTCCCAAGACCCCAGGTAGCTGGGACCAACATTGGGTAATGCCCTTTTTGACAAGGAAATTGTTGGATTCTACCCATGTGGCATTGACACCAAAAATTAACACATTTGAAAGAATGCATACATTTTATGATTTTCTGTTTACACTTTAGCTAGTTCATGGTTGATTTCCTTAGCACAGCTTGCTTGATCAGCAAAATGTTGCATTGATATATCTATTCAAAAGGATATTACTGATTACCATTTTTGCGAGCTTCTTGGGGAGCGTTTACATTACCATGTTCTGCTTTAGGAGTCATTCAGAACAAGTACATATTAGAAGGGATCACAATGTTCTGCTGATGCAGGTGGACGTTGGAGACTTTCTGCGTCTCAAATCATGTGTGCTCTACACAGAACTTGACAACCCGGAGCTGCCACTCATCAATATTGAAGTAGTTGCTCATGTTACAAGGCCTGAACTTCGATCTAGTGAGGTGAGATCCTGAAAGATGAAGCAGTATAACAACAATCCAGCTGGTTTAGTAGTTATTTATAAACTGTCACACTTTTGATGTGAAATTTCAGATTCTTCCAACAGTAGCTTACGTTTTTATGCATTTTATGTTATAAACAGGTATCAAATACATTTCACTTCACATTCACTGTGCGTCCAGAGGCCATGAAAAATGGACTGAGGATTCGGAGTGTTGTGCCAGCAACAGAAGAGGAGGCACGGCGGGTGCTTGACCGCATGGATGCTGAGAACTCGCAATTCATTTACTAATTAGTAAATATACCTTGCGATAAGAGAAAACAAGAATTTACAAGAATACATATAGGATTTTTTATTGCAGAGGCCTCAAGCTCTACATTCACATTGAAACATCTTGAAGATGAATGGGATGTATGTAGCACACCTGCAGTATTTTGTCTGCCGACAGTAAAATTAATGGAATTTTCTTCTGATTATAGGAATTGATCTTAATCCAATTTTGTGCGGGTTGTATTTTGCAACATATTTTCAAAGCATTTATATGTCCTGTCAATTCCTGGTTGAAAATAGGATAGGGTAAATTTGGACAATTGTTACTTAGAAAGGACTCATAAGTTCAATCAGGACAGTAGTTGAACACGGTAGAGAGCTGGTCCTCCCCATTCAGTGGATGGCATAGAGATGGTCCCTACCATCCAATGGATCATAAGTGATTCCATCCATCCACTATAGAGATGGTCCTCCTCACTTTTTCAATATCCTCTTAAAATTCCCCTGATTTTTACATATCCATAATCATTAGCTTGACCCGAAGGCAAAGACCCATTGTAACTGTAAAATTAGATGCCTCTCCCATAGATGTTCTAATGTTGGTTGTTACATCCTCGTATATATCCTCAACTAGATCAATGAATACCTGAAAATCTCTCTTTTCTTTTTAATCTTTTTTTTATTGACACTAATTTTTTCTATCAATTATTTCAAAAGAAAGACAGTTTCCATGGTTGGTGTCCCTAGTATAAACACAAATTAGTTCTGTGATATACTTTTTTTATGTTGTAATTTTTGCTCAATTATTCTCTTCAAAATTTTATAATGTGGCTCATGGGTTTAACTCCCCAGAAGTTATTACAACTTTGTATATTACCTTTGTTCTTAAACATAAATATCATACTGAGTTTTTACCATTCATTAGACATGTTTTCTTTTATTATCATATTAAATATCTTAATTAGTCATGATAAGCCTAACTCTCTATATTTCCACACTTGTATTGGAATACTATCAGGTTCTAATACATCTTTTGTAACATTCAACCACCAAAATATATCCTAATACATCTTTTAAAATTGTCTTTCCAATACTATTTGATACAGTGGTGTTGTTTTGCCATCATGTTTTGGGTTGATTAATACAAATTTGATATTTGAAAACATATCGGCAACACAACGCTATTGTACCAAACACCCCCTCAATCTGTCGATGGCAAAAAATAAATGTCAGCATATATCAAAATAGAAATATCCAGAGATTTAAATGGCATGTAAATTTATAAAGCCCATCAATGAAAACCCTACATCTATTACTGAACCGCATTCTTGATATCCAATTCCAATAGATTTACAAGAGAGATCAACATATCACCAACTCTTCCTTATTCTTCCCTTGAGATATTGCTCTTCTATATTATATGCAGAACAAGAAACATGAATTTGTATAAATACAACAGAGACTGTTTCATTAAATATTTGGGGGGCCCGTCCAACCATTATCCTCCCCTGTCAAAAGTCTTCTCCTAGAAAAAAAAGGCATCTTGATGAAAAGCAATCAAAATATCAAAGAGAACCAAGTCCTATGATGATGATGAACTGTCATCATCTGAAGAACTGTATTGCCGCCGCCCATTAAATCTAGGAAAAACAGGAGGTAGTGTTGGATTGACTGGCACAGGAAGATGTCTGGCTGAACTTACTATCGTTCTCTCATTGATCTTCCCTACTTCCTTACATACCTGGTCAAGGATAGAAAGAAAGTCTCTCACCACCATGAAAATTCTGAACGGGTGAGCTTCTTCCTTGGTTGAATTTCCATGGAAGTATTCAGTTATCTCCTTCACTAGAGAAAGAGCCACACTCTCTTGTGCTTGCATCCGGATAATTTCCTCCTCGGCCTTCTTCAAGAAGGCATTCATCGACTCAGAGAATCTGCGGTTGCTTTCCTTCAACTCCATTGCTTCATTTAATCTCACTACCTCATTGATGTTCCCAATTCCTCTAGCAAGCTTTGAGACGTCACTACTAAGCACATCGGAGTCCACTGCAGCAGCTTTCTTTACATTAGTCAACTCTCCGCTAAGACCAGCTACAATTTTAAGGCCCAACTTCCTAATTTCACAATCATTCCTAAAGGTGGATTGCTGGGTTTTTCCATTGGTTGGATTCTGATTGGCACCAGAAAGACGAGAACCTTCCACTCTTATGATTTCCTGTACAACAAAATGCAAGAGTGTGGTTTTCCCATCAGTGCCCTTGACATCAACGAGTTTGAGGAGTGTGTCAAGCTTGAAGGCATGGGCATCCCCACGGTTGGTTCCAACATTCATGCGGTTCCCACTCTTGAGAACAGCTTCTAGAAGCTTCAAAAACATCCTGCTGTTCCTCAGTTCTTCACAAGCTGCCTGCAAAAGAAAATTTGGTGAGGATGATGATCAGGAAGCAACTAACTCGTCATTGGACACAAGAAACTATAGAACCTAAGTTTTTGCAATAATGAGATATACTTGCATTTTCCATCTATATGCAATTTTATTGTACCATCAAAAATAGGTCCTGATGACCTGTACAGAGCAAATACCCTGCATATATGATCTAGAAGAGGCAAAAGAAGGAACTTTCATCTTGTCGTCTTCGTCTGACTGTAGAATTTATTACAAATAACCCAACACTATAACAGTAAACTTTCAGGCAAAGAATTACACCTTGTGCTGCAATTTGTAGCTACTCCTAGGTTCTATTAAATAACTTCATTTTTTACCCTATCCTTTCTAGTTTTTCCACTCATTCATATCAGCATATGCTTAAATTCAACAAAATTTAAAGCATCTAAAAAATTTTTATAGAAAAGTTTGTTAAAATATTCTATCTATATCTTTGTGATGGCAATACATGAATGTGAACTATTAGGAGTTCATTACAAGAAAAAAAAATTAAAATTAAAAATAAAACATTAGGAGTTAAGAGAGTAACTTGTGACAATCACAGACTTCAACTCTTACGCATGCATTTTCAAGGCTCATGATTGATGTCATAGCATGACATTTGGATATGCTAAGCATGTTCAGGTATCAGATTACTATTATTTGTAGATCTAAAATTAAAAATTAAGGATAAGTGTAATAACAATAATAGACAGGTCATGGACTTGAACACCATGACATTTGGATTACACCATTCGAGTCTTCATGCTGCCTCATTAATATAGTCCGTGAGCAACCCAAAATTTCTTCCCCATGGAACAAAAAGTCATTACATAGGCAGAAATCAGTATCTTTGTTCTTCCACCAATTTCTCCAACAGTATTGCACATAAAGGCCACCAAGGCTGGTGCATAGTGATCCGGGATCTTTGGAATGGGTGTACTGGATACAAAACCTCTGGAATTTTGGCACAAAGTGGCCACTCATAGTCTCAAACCAAGGCTGGTGCATAGTGATTCGAGATCTTTGGAATGGGTGGACTGGATACAAAGCATCTAGCATTTTGGCACAAAGTGGCCACTTGTAGCCTCAAAACAATTTTCTCACACTTGTCAGCCTGAGAATTTATCAAAGCACCAAGCAATGGCACCCAGTTGGGTTGTTGATGTTCCTCATCCATGCATTCTGTACTTGAATTTCAAGTCAAAACTCAGAACCAAGGCAGAGAAGAACCAGGTTTCTCTCCATGCCCACTAAAGCATGGCTAAAAATGTAACACCAGACTCTCACCAAGTCAGGAAGAAATGGACCACAGTTTGTACAACTAGGAATCTAGGACAAATATATGCTAGCCCAGCTAACTCCTCAAGTCACAAGCTTGTAGATGTACCATATTGGTTGCTCCACTATCAGTAAAAGACATCAACCTTGAACTTGAAAATGTTCAAGTCAGCTATATAGAGAACCTTCTAGACAGCAAGCAACTTTGGATACATGTGATTGGGAATAGAAATTGAAAGATGACTCAACAGTAAATTTAAAGATTCATGCATCTGTGTTTAGCTACATAAACAAAAATATTGAAGGCTGATGAAAGATTTACCTCTAGCGTTTCAAATGATTTCTTAAGGTACTCAACTTCTGAATCAAAATTGGCTATATATAGCATTGCATCCACCCTCTTAAATGCAAAAGGAATATCAAGAACTGCCTTAAGAAATTTCTCTGCATGGCCAAGCTTGAATGGTGAATCATCTGTGTATTCTTTTAATTTACGTTCTTCTTCTTTGGTTGGAGCCATCCTTAACAAACTTTCTAGAAGATCAGTTCCCAGTGTATCTGTGTTACCTGTTGCAAGTACAAATGTTACAAAATTTATCAATCCATTATCTAAATGAAGCATGCTTTCAGCACACACAAAGGAGCACAGAAGAATAACATAAGACTTCCAATAGGCAGAGTACAAAATAAGGCAAGATCAGAGAGACAGACAAAAATTTAGGGGACTCCTTTCTACATGCAGAATAAAATTAAGTGTTTAACAATTGAAGCCAACTGGATATCTCTAGATAGAATTTGAATGGGTTCATTACTGATGGTTTTACAGAACTTCAAAAAAAAATCTTTGATAAATGGTTAAGAGATTGACTCCTCCCATGGAAGATAAGCATACGCTATATGATCAAAACTGATTCAATATGAATAACTTAATAGCTTTCTAGTTAAGTCCAGTGGCTCAAGATTGAAATAGAAGTTCATGTAAAGCACTGATCTCAATGACTACCTATGAATTTGGTTAGAAATCAGATAATTTAAGTTAGAATTTTTTTTTGAACTGTAAATTCATTAGCAATAATAACTGAAAACAAACTACAAATGTTTACTTGTTTAGGTTTTCCATTTCTGTTTTGCTTTTTCCACAATGAAACCATCACCATGAATTCATTAGGAATACCAACCATGTCTTTTCTTCTTTAAATAAAGTAAGGTTAGCTCTATACATATTCAATTCACTTTCTCTGAACCCACTTGGAGGGTCATGGTTATTTACTCAGAATAGCTTAGTCAGACTGTACAGTAATAACAGTTCACACATAGATAATCTACATATGGACTAATAATAACATGCTTCTCAAGTGGGTTCAAATAGAACTAAAGCAATCACAGATACTTAACTAAAAAAGCAAGTGACAAAAAAGTCATGATTGACTAGGCAGAGGTTAGGGGCTTTAGAGTGTATGCCTCCAAAGTGTTGTTATAAAGAAAATTAGAAAGATTAGGAAAAAAATACAACTCAACCTTATCCCAGCTAAGGTCTACACAATTCTTGCTTCATAATATCATTCCCTCAAGGTAAGTATTTTCTAGTATTTATCAGCAACCCTTCAAATGATATTCAAAACACAAATCTAACACACAATATATACAAAGATGAACCAACAATCCAATTCTGAATGGACATAACTGTCAACCAATTTGATCTAATAATAAAGGAGTTGATAGATTTTAAGCAATTCCTGTGGTGCCTGAAAAATATGGTGTGCGAAAAACTTTAACCAATCAAATGCCCAGGTGAATTTTGATGAATGCCAGTTGATTGGTTACCACTTGGATGAATACCGATTGATTGGTTATCAGTTTTTTAGGTACCATGACATGACCAAGTTTGCCTAGGATGACTTGTTACCTTCTAAAAGGGCTTCACAGACTTCCTCTACAGTCACATTCAGTGCCCGCAGCAAAATGGCTATATTCTGAGATTTCTTTGGATCAAGTACCCTATTCTCTTGGTTAGGCGAAGGAAGGATCGGATGGCGTGTCATCTCTTTTGGAGTCGAGTTCGAAGTATTCACCACAAACAACGTCTCGATCATCTCCTCGTTCAGTCTGCAACCAATCAAACTCTATAAATTTATACACTAGTACAAGACACACACTACCCGAGAAGAACACAGCTCAGAAAAGAACCCAGATGACACATTACATCGTAAAAGAGAAGATCTTACTTGAAAGAACTGGATTTCAACTGATCCCACACCATTGCACGATCGGAGCTTGCTCTAACCTTGTCCCAATGTAACGGCTTCAGCTTTGGCTTTGGAGTCTCCTCATTTCTCTCATTGGTCTCGGAATTCTGTGGTAAACCATTCGGAGAAATTCCAGGTGAATTTTGACAGACAACTGATGCAACAGGATTAACAAGTTTGGGTGGTCTAGTAACTGGTTCACGGGCTGGTGGACGATGAATTGGAGTATTCCAGAATCGGGGTGGTGGAGGTGGAGGTGGCGGTGGTGGGATGGAAACAGGGCACCTAGAAATACCATCCGTTCCCGCCGGAGACTGCCCATTTTGGAGAGAAACATCAGAAGCTCTTGTGGATAAATGTGGGTTTTTCTCGGAATCAGATATTGCGGTGGGTGAATGCGGATTTTTCTCCAAATCAGAAATTATTATAGGCGAAGATGGATTTTTCTCTGAATCAGAAATTCTTGTGGGTGAATGTGGATTTTTCTCCCAATTAGAGATCCTAGGAGACGAATATGGGCTTTCCTCTGAATCAGAAATTGTTGTGGGCGAATACGGATTTTTCTCCGAATTAGAAATCCTAGTGGGTGAGTGTCGGTTTTCTTCCGAACCGAAACTTCTAGTGGTTGAATCAGAGTGTGAGCTTTTCTCCGAATCAGAAATTCTTGTGGGTGAACGTGGGTTTTTCTCCAAATCAGAAATTCTTACGGGTGAATGTGTGATTATTTTCGAATCCCTTACTGGAGGTGAAGAAGGCGGAGAGGGTGAAGGGGGCTTTCTCTTGGGAGGTGATGGAGTCATCGGACGCGGTGGTGGCGGCGGCGGTTGAGGAGGTGGAGGCAGAGTTGCAACAAAGTCTGGCAGTTTCGATTTTAAGCTTCTCGAGCTTAAGCTAACCGGTGAAGGACTGTTAGACATAGATGGAGTACGCGAGGCCGAATCGGAAGATGGGTATGATGGCGTACTCGAGTTTGAGCTTCTGCTCCCAAAATTCTCCACCGACACAGCCTGATGTACCCTCCGAGAGCTTGATCCAGTAGCAGTCAAGCTCTCCTTACCACCAGTAGAACTTCTCGGGGAGTAAAACTCCTCTTCCTCATCTGCAGTCGTACTTCCGTCTGCATTTTTATGTTTCTGCCTGAAACTTTGTTGGGAAAGCGGTGGAAGCGGGTGGAGCTCCGGGGAACCCAGTTTTCTATATGGCGACGTACTGGCGGCGGCGCCACTAGCATTGCCGGCATCGGTATCACCATCGATCCCATGGGAATTGACAAGAGTACCCAGATAGAGAAACTCAGAGCTAGTGGCAGATACGCCGCTAACCTTTTGATGGGCATCGGTTGGAGCGACCGAAGATGGGCACCGATCGGATCTGGATGTCTTGCCGTTGGATAAATTTCGTCGTTTCCTGATATAGAGAAGGACGGCGAAAGCAGAAACGAAAACAAGGGCAAGGAGGGAGAGGATAACGGTGATGATGACGAGCTTGGGCGAAAAGGATTTGCGGTGGGGAGGCTGAGGAAAGATGAGAGAGGAGATGTTAGAAGGGAATGCGGAGTCGGTGGTTGGAGAGGGTGGAGGAGGTGGAGAGGGAAGAGATGGGAAGAAAGGTGGTTGATTGTTGTTTGAAGAAAATGGGAATTTGGGCTGGGGTGGAGATTGGGTTGGAGGATTTGAGTCCAGAGGGAAGAAGGGTTGATGGAGGATCCGGCGATGGTGATTGCTAATGGTCTTGCAGGCTGAGTGATGACAAGTAGAGGAAAGGAGGAGGAAGAGGAGGATCAAGGTAGGCATTGTGGTTTCAACTCTCTCCCTCTCTCAGAAGAGAGAGAGTCTGTGACTCTGTGTTGTGTCAGTGTACCTGGGCAATGAAGTGTTGATGGGTGCTCAGTGGGGACTTTTGACTGTGTGAGGTCTGTAGAAGAAAGGAGAGAGATTCAGTTCTTTGGTGGGTGGTTTGAACTTAGAGGAGAAAGAGGACTGATCGTTGATGGGTATCTTGGAAAGTTGGAGTAGAGATGAGCTGGAGTATAGATAGAAAGTTCAAACAAGAGTCGATCAGTGTCTGAGGTGTATGTGATGAATTATGGAGAGGGACAGAAGCTGTGTTGACTGTTGTTGTAGTAAATTATTTTTAAGAAGACGAGGAGGAGGAAGAGATATTTGGCAATGGACTATCCGGGTGTGAAAAGGCTGAAAACAAGAGAGAGGGATGTGGTGAACTGCTGAGACTGTGAGAGTGATGTTTTTTATTTTAATAATAAAAAAAAGTAAAAATAAAAGAGTCATTGTACTATATAGACTATAGTAGCATGTGAGAATGAAAAAGTAAAAGCAAAAATTGATTAGTTTCGTTATTGCTTTTAATTTTTAATTTTGAAGAAGTAAATAACGTGCTGTGTGAGGAGCAGAGAGGAGACAACTGCGAGAACAGAGAAGCGTTTGTTGTACACAAATCTGTGTGTTTGTTGTTATGGGATGCACGTTGAGTATGGATTCACTGCACATTATTTTTTGTACCAACTAATGATTGACTGACAAGTGTGCCATGTGTTAAATTCTGTAAAAAGCCCTCCCATGTGAGTGAAGGTGTCAACTGGCTCGTTGTCGTTGATGAGTTGAGGTCTCTAAATCTCTCATCTCTGGTTAGTAGCAGTTGTCGTGACACCTTCCATTATATGTGATGTGAGACTATGTATGACTTTGCTTTAAAAAAAAAAAAAAAGAATTAAAAAAAGTACTTTGTGGGTAAAGTATGGAAAATAGAACTGGGTGGATTTAAAGTTGGTGCTGGTTCAATGCCTCCACATAATTTCCTCTTTGGAAAATACGAATTTGGGAATGACACTCTCTCTCTTTCTCGTCATATTCTCTGCTAGGAGTGGCAACAAGCCGAGCTACTAGCTGCTCGAGCTCGGTTTGGCTCGGTTTCAATTGAGCTTGAGTTCGAGCCTATTAAAGTTTGGCTTGCGAGCCGGTTATATATAATATAATTATAGAAAATAATATATATATATAATAAAAATATTATAATTATTAATTATAATAATTCTTAAATTTTAAATATCAAATAAAAAATATTTTAATATATAATTTTTTATTTTTATAAAATACGTTTTCTCAAAATCGAGCTCAAGTCAAGCTGAGCTCAAGTTTATGAATTTTTTACTCAAGCCGAGTTTGAGCTCAAGGTTCTGGCTCGAACCGAGCTCAAGCCTTATAGAACAGTCTCAAGCTAAGCTCGAGCCTCATACTATTTGGCTCAACTCGGCTCGAATCCACCCCTATTCTCCGCCTTTGTCTACTTTATTGGCATCCTCTTTCTCTGTGAGGTCCCACTATCCTCTAACTCCGGCTCCATGAGGCCCCATTGTTCTCCATCTTCTTTTCGTCGCTTTTGCCATTGTGCTTCTCATCCTGCTAGACGATGGAGGTGAGGCTATCATCTTGCTTCTCTGGCTTCGGCTTCTCATCGTACTTCTCGTCCTGCAGCAAAAGCCACAGGTGAAGATGGGGGAAGTGGAGATGAGGTTGTCGCCCCCTGTGATCGGAAAAGACGATGGAGAGTTTTATACCATTCTCTGGTGAAATGGTTGCTCAAAAAAGAAAATGACGGAGCAAAGGCTATTTGATCATTGCAGAGTTTTACACCAAAGACAATGGAAATTTTCATCGATTTTATCGGTGGGAACTTTCCACCGATTCTGAATGTAAAACTCACCCTAAGTGGAGTTTTATGCTAATTTATAGTATAAAACAACACCTAAAACAAATGCAAGAAATTTTGAACTAGGGTATAAAGTTTACCTCAATTCTTATTTACACCAAAAACAAACACGGCCTAAGGAAAATTTTGCAAGTTGGCCCATAACATAGCACACACAAGCTTTGTTGAGGGGGAGTATGGGAGTGAAGCAAAAGGAGTTTATGGCTTATGAGAGTGTGGGAGTTAATCTTTATCAATTTATTCACTCATTTATTACTTTTTATTAATTATTTCGTTTTTATTCATGCATACTTTTATTAATAACTTATTTTTATTTAATTTATTAACTTAAATGGATTTTAAATAGGGGCATATACGAGAACACCCCTATAGTTTCACAAATTTACTTAAGCCTATCATGTAGTTTTCATTTTACTAAAACACCCCCTTATAGTTTGCAACATATTTACTTAAGTGACCTTTTACTAAGTAGTATTTGTTCTACCATCTGAAAAATATTAAATGATCACCTAAACTTAGTGGAAAATGTTCAAGGGCATGGGCCATGATTGTTTATTCCAAAAGTACACCTAACACTTTTTTGTACATAGCAGAATTGACCATGATTGTTTATTCCAAAAGTACACCTAACACTTTTTTGTACATAACAGAATTCACCAAATAGAACGGTTGCTCATTCTTACTAAAGGCAAAAAAGGCATTTTCATTTGTATTTTTTATTGAATTAATTCAAATGGACATTAGGGTTAAAACTGTCATTTTCCATTGTTATCCAATGGAAGGTCAATTCAGTAAATTGATTACAAACTATATGGGTGTTTTAGCAAAACATAAACTATAAGATAGATTTTAGTAAATCCATGAAACTAAAGGGGGTGTTTTAGTAAATGACCCTTAAATTTTTTCAAATGGACATTAGGCTCAAAACTATCATTTTCCACGGTCATCTAATGAAAGGTTGATTAAGTAAATCGATTACAAACTATAGCGGTGATTTAGTAAATGATCCTTTTAAGTACTTTTATTAATTGGTATAATAAAAAATTAATTTGAATTAAATTATATATTCCTACTATGGTACTAAAAAGGTAAGGTGTTTTAACTAATTGATATGAGATCTTTATATAGCCCAAACCAAGCCTAGACATAGGGGTGGCCACGAGTCGAGTCTTTCATGAGCTATTTGAGCTTGTCTCGTGAAAAGCTCGGCTTGCCTTGGTTTAAACCGAGCTTCGAGCCAAATTCGAGCCCGATATATAGACTTGTTTGCTAATCGAGCCAAGCTCGAGCCTAGTGAATGGCTCGTGAGGCTAGTGAGTCTAGTATTAAATAAATATTTTTTATTATATACATACATATAATTATATATAATAAATAATTTTTATTATACACATACATATGTATAATAAATAATTTTATTATATATAATATTTTTAATTTCCATGTATAATATTAAATAATTTTTATAATTCTTAATTTTTTGCCTAAAAATAAAAAAAAATAATAATTTTGTACATATAATTTTTATTTTTCAAAAAAAAACTTAGCTTATAGTCTAGCTCGAGTCGTGCCGAGCTCGAACTTGCGAGCTATGAACCAAGCTGAGCTCAAGCTCAAGTTTTTAGCTCGAATCAAGCTCGAGACTGATACTATTCCTGCGAGCTGAGCTTGAACAGTCAAGTATTTGGCTTGGCTTGGCTCAAATCCACCCTTGCCTAGACACAAAACATAGGCCCAATCTTGGAAATTTGCAAATCGGATTAAGCTAAGAATTATAAACCCTAGTTAGTTATTTACAAACTAATTCCATGCACTATGGTTGTGTACAACAATCATGTGTCACAAATCTAGATTTGTCTACTACATACAATTGTTATTGTGCACACAATCAAAATGTAATACCTATCAAACAGCAATGTGTAAACTCTTGTAGGTGTAAGGTTAGTGGAGGGTGTAATCCCCTTCATTAATTTACTTCTGTTCTATAAAAATTAAAACAATAATTTTAGAAGCCCAAGAGACACTTTTTTCTGATAATTGAATGATAATTTAGAGAATAAGGGTCCATTTGGTTCACAGCCAGAACAGAAATCGAAATCGAAATCAGAATCGGAATCAGAATGATTTATTCCCATAGTCTGTTTGGTTCAGACAGAAATGGAAATGGAAATCGAAATCATAAAGAATAGGATTTCATTCCCAAGGGAGGGGCAGGGAATGGCCATTCCAGCAGGAACGGAAATAACTGAATGGGATTCTGATTCCCGCTCAACCAAACAGTTGGAATCAAAATAGCCCATTCCGATTCTAATTCTAGACCCCTATTACTTTGAACCAAATGGTGCCTAAACTTCTCGTTCCATTGTAGGCTCATCCTTAACATCTCATAATATATATATTCACAAACTTCTACCCATGATACAAACCATGCAACAGATGATTGTCATTCACCAATAACAGTTTTTGTGACCATGTGATGTTTCTCAATCAATATATGTTTCAACACCTTATGGGCCTTAGCATGGCTCTAGAGAAAGAACTCATATGAATGGAACTTGTTTTAAGTACTTAGGCTTCCTTAAGGCTCAAATATTTGTACTCCTTCCAAACTGAGCATAAATTTCAAAACAGCATTGTTGGTTGCTTTTCTAATATTAAATTCTAAACGAAAGCCTCGTGTCATCAATGCTTTTGAAAATTATTCATTAGGCTGTGTTTGATTGTAATGCAAATTTATTTACACTAACACAAATGCATGGGAATGGAAATGAAAAAAATGTAAATTCTTATTTAATTTTGTTTTGGGTTTTACTTTATTCTGTTTTATGGCTTAATTTACTTTACTTATACTGCAATCAAATAAAATAAGCTAATATTTAAAATAAAAATAGGTTAAAATTTACACTCAAATCATTTACACTGCAATAGTTTTGCAGCAGTACAAATTTATTTGCATTCCAACCAAAGACAGACTTAATGTGAAATAAGCTTCGAATGTTACTGCTGGTGGGCACCACATGACAGTTAATGAAATCAGAAGTTAGAAAACCGGCAAATGTGATTTAGCAATATTAAACCAACCTCTGAAATATGACATTAATTTTTGCTTTTTCAGAGGTCGGATGGTTGTTTGGCTAAATTTCTAACTCACCTATTAATCTTAAAAATTCCTTCTAAATTTTCAAAGGTTAACCCACTTCTAAATGTGTTCCACACACACACAAAATTGAGAGGTCAATTGAAAAATATTGTCCTTCAACTCAAATAACCATATAATATAATATAACAATAATATAATATTTTATTATATGAATATTATGTTTTGTATAATATATATAGCTATAAATGTCGTGATCTATATTATATTTAATACAATAAGATTTATTGTACATTATAGTATAATATTAATTATAGAAAATACTTTTGTGGTTGTATATATTCAAAAGAGAGAAATTGTAAAATGGACATTTCTGAGTGGTTACTAGATCACCAAACAACTTCACTTTATTTAGATATCTTAAAAAAAGGAAAAAAGAAAAACAAATTAATTTTTCACAAATAAAAGCTTAGGACCATTCTCAATATCTTCTGTTTTTTAGAGATCAGAGCTCAGATTTATAAAATGCCACTTTAGTCAAGTATAATTTATAAAATATGTTGTGAAATAAAGAAAATGAAGTTATATATATAGAGAGAGAGATAGAGAGAGAGAGGGTTTACAAACGTAAACACAAGAGGAAACAAGTGATAATGATAATATACAAACGCGTTCGATAAGATTGGTTAGAGTCCATCTCGACCCGGAGGAGGTTGCTTGGGTTGGCTAAAACCCCCTCAACTTGAGGGTGGGATTGACCACTTGAAGCTTGCTACACAGAACATGGAATCTAAGCATCAGTCACTTGGTCCTTGGTAGATATGTAGTAGATAATCAAGTTGTCAGAGTTAGGGCTGTTCATAGATCGGGTTGGGTCGATTTATTAGTATTTTTTTAACTGATCCAATCTAGTCGGGTTATCTAAAGATTAAACTGAAATCGACCTGATCGGTTTGAGTCGGTTTGGGTTTCAGCTGACCCCAAGCTTGCACATGAACTCAAAGCGCATATTTTTTGGAAATATATTTAAAACTGAAATATATAAATTTAAAACCAAAATATATATATAAATATATCGGAATATATATTTTCTAATTTCTAGAAATATATATTTCGGAAATAAGTAACTAGAAAGAAGTAATTAAAAAATTAATGCTAAAAATAAGTAACTAAGTTAATAGGTAACTAGAAAGAAGTAGGATAGAGACAACCTAGTTAGATAACTCAGTTCGGTTCGGTTTTGGTTTTCACACAAGAAAATCGAAACCAAACTGAATTATTAGTTTACTCATCTTTACACCCAAAACCGACCAATGGTGAAGAAAAAACAATCAATTCGGATTGGATTGGGCCGGATTGGTCGATTTGAATTTGTTTGTAAACAGCCAGCCCTAGCCAGAGTCACTTAGTTTGGTTGTTAGTTTCCCAACTAGTTAGAACTTGTGCTTTTATATAGATTCTCTATCAAACCAAAATGATTTCATGTAAAATACATGTTAACATTCCTCATATGCTTACAAATTGGTGACTCCACTAGATAAATCCTAACCATAGGTCCCCATAAGGGGGGTTCATTTTTTGAAATAACTTAATTGATTGATATTGATCATGAATGGCTATGCCTCTCTCTTCTCAACATGTTTAATGATTTCTCTTCAATCCACACCCAACCCAACTAAACTCATCCATTTGTTGCTCCCACTAGTGGCACCACATGACAGTTAATGGAATTAGGAAAAAAGGGAGAATGTGGATAATACCTTAGGCTATTTCTATAGAGTTAGTCAAGTATACATAATTTATAAAGTTTGTTATAATGTGAAGAATACAAAGTTATTTTGATTGTATCTACATCTATAATATAAAAAGGAGCAAGAGAAGGCAAGGGGGCTCTCACAAGGTTGCTCACACGAGTACCTCTGCTCTCTCCCTTCTCACATGTGTGATATTATTTTGTTTAAATTACAAAAGTAACCTTTAATATTGATATTGCCACATATAGAGCTATTAAATTCTTTTTCAGTATTCCCTATTTACAAAAAAATCTATAACCGACAAATGGAGACAATAATAGTCATTTACCATGCTATTAATGTGTTTGCCTAGAGAGATTTTATTCCCCTAACTTGAACTATTTTCTTCTACCCAATTTTCCCTCTATTTTTTTTTCTCCAGCCCTCATCCGTTTCTCTAAACCCAAATTGTTAAGTCCCTATATTTCACTTTCTATTTAAATCCTTCCTTAATGGCTGCCTACACACACGCCTTTGTAGATAGACCGTATGTCTAGCTCTCTTAAATGTGTAAACTCTTTCAAATGAATACGTTCTAGGGCTTTTTCCAACGCGAAGCTAATTTTTATGAACACTTAATTTGTTTTATTTATAAATTATTGGTTAACCTAACAAACACTTTTCTCCAATTTCTCGATTATGTGCTCCATACAACAATAGGGGTTTAATTTTCAACTTTTCATGATAGAATATTCTTAGATCTTTCCTAACCTAATTTTTGTACATTTTACATATTCTCAACAGTGTTTAAATTTCGATAATCCTCTTCCAGCCTTATGGGGAATGGTTGGTACAAGTATATTGAAGTTTAAACACTTTTTAAATCTAGGTAATGGATGCCTACATCCTCTAATGCCGATTTAACTGCTAGCAGCCTGTCACTTTGTTATGGTTGATATTCATAAAATTTTTCTTACTTTTAAATTTTATCCCACATCCTCAAACCCTCTTACTCTATTGGGCTGAATAGTTTTATTCTTAATACTTTAATTACTTATTCTCATTAATGAATAATTAATTATATATATTATCATACATGCCACTGCAATTATAGGTAAGAGAGAACGGTTGGGGTTGCTTTGGTTTTATAAGTTTTCTTCAAGTTATCGTGATTGGGTTGGTTCTATCCAACGGACCCTAACTGACCGAACCAATTATAATGGTTCTAGTTCCATGATTTTATCCCGAATAATAATTGGATCAGTTTTGATTCTTGTTTGTCCTAAATCAATTCAGACCTAAAAATGATTATTTTATTAAATATATAATATTTTCCTAATTTTCTTACAATTTTTGTCATATTTTATGTTTGAAATGGTGAATTTGATAGATAATAAAAGGTAAAAAATGTTTAATTTATTAACATATAAAAAGCTTAATATTTTTCTATAATTTTAACTAAGGCTATATTATCAAAATTTCAATTTTAAGTTGTTATTTAAATAAACATGTATAATTTTCAGTATATTTGGGTCTATCGGGTTTGGACCGGATAAACCTGACTATTGACAACCCTATATATCCTGCACAACAAATATAATATTCATGGATGTGGAATAAGGCTACAAATAAGTCGAATCAAATCCAATCCAATCAATAAGAACCGGATTTGGATATCTGCCTTGATCTTAATAAATCGAATCGAATTGGAAAAGTTAACTAAATGAATCAGATACGAATAAACCTGTTCCAATTTGCCACGACTCGATCCAATCTATTAGTTATAAAATATTATATATATATATATATATATATATATGTATGTTATTTATATATTTATATAATTTTAACTTTTTTACTACAATTCAAATTGAATCAAATTCCGGCCGAAGTCTTTTGGGAAGCGCTGAAGTCCGCAGTAGAGTTGTTTGGGTGGGGGGAGTCACCCCCCCGCTGCCCTGCTTTGTCTCTCTCTATTCCCAGAGATGTTTTCTCTCTTGTTCTCTTGAGGTTTGTCTCTCTCTGTTTCCAGAGAGGTTTTCATTTGTTTTGTGTTTTTTCCCTCTCTCTATTTCTCCCTTTTTTGGTGTTTTTCCCCCTTCTCTCTCTTGAGCTCTTTGTTTCTCTCTAGATCTCTCGAGGATCACCCCTTTCTTTCTCTATTTCTCTCATCTTCTTTGCTTTTCTTTGTTTGCTTGTTTTTTGCGGGCATTTTGACGTCCTAGTTGACCAAGACAGTGCTAGATGGCCGAAATAGTGCTCAGACAATAGTTTCTCCGACGTCCTAGATGGTTGTGATGTGCTCCGATGTCCTAGTTGGTAGTTTCAGTTGTCCAGCTTTCCGGATGGCAGTTACAGTTTTCCAACATTTTCCGGCGTTGTGTATGGATGTTCTTGTTCTCCGGCATTGTGGTTGGACGTTACAATTTTCCGGCTTTCTTCGGAAGACAGCTTGCAGTTGGCAGTTCTTCGGTATACTAGGTGGCAGTTATAGATAATGCGTCTTCTGTAGTTTTTTGGCGTAGTTGGAAGTTACAGTTCTTGGCTTGTGGCTATGTAACCTCCTCTGTCAGTTTTCGGTTTGGTTGGTAGCTCCTATTGTCAGTTTGCTTACCAGTTATGGTGGTTTAGAGATATTCTTATCCACTTTTGTTGGTGAAGTTAACTCGCCTTGTTCGCTAGTTATGGTGGTTTGGTTGCAGAAGTTATTCTGATTCTCCTAATTCTATCTATTTGTTTTGTTATTCTTGAGAATGTATCTTTGGTCTTTATTTGGCTTGGTTGGCATCTCTTTGTACCAATCTCTTGAATGAATGAAACATGATTGAAACCTTCCAAAAAAAAATTGAATCAAATTCCAGTAAAATATCCTATAAGATGTTCTGAAAAATTTCGGAAGCCAAGGTATATTTCCATTGTTACCTTATGATATTTATATACAAAAGACTTTCTAAAAACAAAATACTTCCTAATCCAAAAGACTCCTAATCCAAAAAGAAAAACAAGACAAAAGACTTCCTAACTGTACAGGTAACATACAGATTCGGGACTCTCGCGAATCTTATCTTCGTCCAATACTCCACCTCAAGGTGGTGCATGAGGATTGCAAATGCCCAACTTGGGAAGGAAAAAATCAAATTGTTTTTGTCCGAGAGCCTTGGTGAAAATATCGGCAAGTTGTTCACCGGTACGTACATAGGCAGGTGCAATAGTGCTAGCTTGGAGCTCATTGTGAATGAAATGACAATCAACTTCAATATGCTTGGTTCGCTCATGGAAAATAGGGTTTGCGGCAATGTGCAGAGCAGCTTGATTGTCACAAAATAAGCGTATAGGTTGAGGATGAGATATACCCAAAGACAATAGCAGACCTTTTAGCCACTTCAACTCACAACTGGCAGTAGCCATTGACCGGTTATTCAGCCTCGACAGAGGAACGGGAGATAGTATGTTGTTTCTTAGTCTTCTAGGAGATGGGGGAATGTCCTAACATGACAAAATACCCGGTAAGAGAGCGATGAGTTAGAGGACAACTCGCCCAGTCGGAATCACAATAGGCACACAATTGCAGATCACTATCAGAGCGCAAAAATATTCCTTGACCAGGACGTCCTTTCAGATAACGAACCACGCATAATGCCGCATCCCAATGATCAATACGAGGACACTGCATAAATTGAGCCAGGACATGGATGCAATAACTAAGCTCTGACCATGTAATGGTTAAATAAATCAAATGGCCCACAAGATGTTGATATCGTTCAGGGTCATCTAAGAGCGCTCCGTCAGCAAGGGCAAGTTTATGATTTTGAGTAATAGGAAAGTGAGTAGGTTTGGACCCCAATAAACCAGTTTATGCAATAATATCAAGTGCATACTTTCTTTGACAAAGAAATATCCCCGATGATCCGCGAGTCACTTCGATGCCTAGAAAATATTTAAGAACACCCAAGTCCTTCATGTGAAAACACCGGTTCTTATATTGTTTAAATTTGTGTATGAACTCCGGGTTATTCCCACCAACGATTAAGTTATCAACATAAACTAGGACGTGCAAGACAAGCACATTCTTGTGATATGTAAATAAGGAATAATCGAAATAGCACTGATCAAACCCAAAAATTTTCAAGGCAACACCTAATTCAGAAAACTAGTTCCGGGGAGCTTGTCGTAGACCATACAAAAATTTTTGGAGTTTGCATACCTTTCCAGTCCCATAGGTTGAAAAACCTGAAGGAGGTTTCATATAGACCTCCTCATGGAAATCACCGTGCAGGAAAACATTGTTGACATCCATCTGATGCAATTCCCAATGTTGGGCCGCAGCAACTGCTAAGAAAGTTCGAACTGTGACCATTTTATCCACAGGGGTAAAGGTCTCGTTATAATCAAGACCTTCAACTTGAGTGTTGCCCAAGACTACCAACCGTGCTTTAAATTTTTCAACAGATCCATCAGAGTTGTACTTGATTTTATAGACCCATTTACATTCGATTGCCTTTTTTCCAGGTGGGAGGTCTTCCAAGGTCCATGTCCCATTGTCTTCCAAGGCCTGTATCTCTTGGCGCATAGCCTCGCGCCACCGAGCATCAGTCATTGCCTCAAAGAAACGAGTAGGTTCTCGGCCTGCAGTAATAGATGCCAAGAAATGCCTGTGTTTTACAGAAAAATTGTCATACGTCACATAATGAGTTATGGGATAAGGAATACCTGAGGATTGAGATGATGCAGGAGAAACAACGGAGGGGTCTAAACAATGAGCAGAATGTGTGACAAAGTCCTGTAAATAGTTGGGGGTCCGCTTTTCTCGATGTCCGTGGCCTAATAACTCCGTGGTGGGCTGAGGAGCTGCTGGAGTTTCATTATTCCTACAATCTGTATGGCTCCTTGTCTTATCAGGAGGACCTGCCTCCTCATCGTTACCCGTGTTCTGATGTCCTTCATCGATCGTGTCGCTCCCCCTGACTTCTATATGAGGTGACTCAGAGGGAGGATTGGTTACTGAGGGTTGATGTTCCAAAGTGGCAAAGGGAAATTCGGCCTCACTAAACACCATGTCTCGTGAGATGAAGTAATCACCATACTCAAAATCGTATAATTTCCACCCCTTTTTTCCCAAAAGGGTACCCAACAAAGACACATTTCCTACTCCTAGCGGCAAATTTGTCACGGTCCCGAATATGCGAGAAACATAAGCAACCAAAAACTCTGAGATGTTTATAAGGTCTTTGTCCAAATAGCATCTCGTAAGGTGTTTTACCACCAAGAAGGGTTGAAGGTGTTCGGTTAATCAAGTACCCTGCGGTCAAAACACACTCACCCTAGAAATTGATCGAAAGATGTGCTTGAAACCTGAGCACTCTGGCCACATTCAAAATATGACGATGTTTTCTCTCCACACGATCATTTTGTTTTGGTGTTCCAACACAGGAAGTTTGAAACAAAATTCCTTGCTTGTCAAAATATGATTTCAAGGATTTAAACTTTGTTCCATTATCACTTCTCACCACCTTAACCTTCTTATTAAATTGTCGTTCAATCATTGTGCATAAATTTTTGAGTGTTCGACCAACTTCAATTTTTTCAGCTAGCAAATAAATCCAAACCACTCGAGAATAATCTTCAACAATTGTAAAAAAATATGCAGCACCACAAGATGCAGGTACTCTATAAGCACCCCATAAGTCACAATGAATCAATGCAAAACAATCAGTCACTTTATTGCTGCTTTGAATAAAAACATCTCTAGTTTGCTTTGCCTTCAAACAAACATCACACATTTTGTTCTTACTATTACTGATATTAAGAAGTAAGCTAACCGTTTGATAAGAAGGTTGTCCCAATCTCCGATGCCACAAATCGCATGACCCAATTCCATCTGTCTTGTAAGCACGAATCGGTGCCACACCCTTGAAGACATAGACCCCATCAAGCTGTTCACCCTCACCAATCAAAGTCCTCGAGATGTGGTCTTGTATTACACACAACTTATTAGTAAACGTCACAATACAATCTATGTCACGAAGTAACCAACCTACTGACAATAAATTACAATTGAGTTTTGGGATATATAATATGTGCAGCAATTTAAAATTCTTTCCAAGTTCAACAATGCCTTCTTTCACGGCCTCGGTGTGCGCACCGTTGGGTAACCTAATAGGACAAGGTGCAACATCATAGGTGTTGACAAGCACATTTAAATTCCCTGTCATGTGATGTGACGCCCCAGAGTCAATAATCCATTCAATGGAGTAATTCTTACTAGAGAGTATTTCATTAGTCCTGGTTTTGTAAGCATTAAGCATGCTTGCAAGAGCCTGCCATTGCTCGTCATTAAGCCCGCTTAGTCCGGTCCGGTCTCCGTCAGTCACAACTGCATTAGAAGCCACCTCATGCCCTGCTGATGACTGAGCAGCATGAGCCTTTGCCCATTCATCGTAGTTATCTCCTCTCAAGACCATCGAACTGATAATAACTCCAGGATTATTTGATGGATGCAAATAGAAAGGAGAAGACGGTCCAACAGACCTACTCGAGATTTCACCGTTCCTGTCGTTGTTGGCAGCCATGGTGACCGATCAGCAAGACTCGTCAGCAGTAATATCAAGTTTGATTCCAAGAAGACGATGGATGATCCTAATGAAGCTCACGAAGAAATCCGAGTACATCAATATCGGTGTCGTCGAGCTTTACCATCTGCATTCTTGAAAACTAGTATTGAGTTCTTGAAGAAACAGGAAGGAACAGAGGAATGTCACAGCGCAAGAACAAGCGGATCACCGTCATAGTCTTTGATTATCCTCTGCAGAACACGCCAAACTCATCCAAACTCTTCCGTTTGCAGCATCAAACTTTTGAAGAGTCCATTCTGAGCTGCCATAATAAGGCGGAATACCTGAATCGTCGATTGGCAGGAACGAGCTTAGTTTATCGCAGTCAATGAGCTTCGGCTGCTGCTGCTGTTGAATATAGTGACTTACGCACTGTTCTGATCCTCCTTCAAAAGTAAAAGAACTAAGATACATGAATAAGGAGAGACCTGAGGGATGGAGATAATAAGTTGTGGTCGGATCAAGATCTGCAGCAATAACCGTCGGTTGCGCAGCGAATAATAACACAGGCTCTGATACCATGAAAAATTTCGGAAGTCAAGGTATCTTTCCATTGTTACCTTATGATATTTATATACAAAAGACTTTCTAAAAACAAAAGATTTCCTAATCCAAAAAGAAAAACAAGACAAAAGATGACAGATTTTTATTGAATTCGGATCGGTTGGATTGCTTATCGAATTGGATCAGATATACCCTTTACCAAAGCTGGTCTGATTCATTTAGAGAGCTAATGTGGAATAATTATGACTGCAATGTCCAACTTTCTTATGAGTTTGCCTTAAAAAAAAAAAACTTTCTAATGAGTTTCTTTCCCTTCTCCCTAGAAAATTTGAAGGAAATTGATAAATTCCAAAGAAATTTCCTTAGACTATTGTTTGGCTTGGTGTAAGAAAGAAATAAAAAGTTAGAGAAAGTTCTTAAGACATTAAAAAAGGGTAATAAGAGAAAGTTCTCAAGTTAGTAAACGAGACAAGTGTTTCTTATGTTTTTCATCAGAGGTATAAGGAGGCCAATCAGGCTGCTGACCTGTTGGCCAATCTAGGTCATAGCTCTCCTGCTTCTAGCCCTGTTATTAAGAGATCTTTAGTTTATATTTGTTATGTAGATTTTTTGAGGATGTTGTACCACCATTTTGTGTAGCCCCTTCTTCTTTCTACCAAAAAAAAACCCTTTACACAGTAGATGGAGTAAGATTTGCAAACCCAAAGACAAAGGGGATTAGAGATCATGAAAGCAAAGGATTTACCCGCTAACTAAATAGGTTAGCATTGGTTCTTTTAGTGCTTTACTTGCAAATAATATCTCTCCATGAAATAAATCATACAAGTTCGAAGATATTCTCAATGCACGGCTATAAAGACTGTTGAAACGGGTCTTGATGAGAGCGGATTTGGCCCTCCAATGACATTGTGACACCTAGCATCTCATGCCAACTAAGTGCAGCCCCTTGACAGCTAGACAGTTTGAGCTCGCCACTAGGTAGCTTGCCAGTAGGCAGTTCGACACCAGGCAGTTCGCCACTAGGTAGCTCGCCACCAAGCAGCTTGCCACCAAGGAGCTCCACTTCAGCCTATGAGTCACTGACCACATGGGAGCAGACGAGATGACGAGGTACTTAGCCGAAAAATTGACACATTGCGAAAAAATGATACATGACCGGAACCGGTTACATCATTTGGCGCCGTCTATGGGAACACGCTACAAAAGCCAAGTTCTCATCTTACAAAAAGCTAAGTCCTCTTCTCCCAGAAGACTAAGTCCTCACCTTTTTAGAAACTAAAGCTCCCACTTTATAGTTTCCTTTTTTTTATGAACTCAAAGAAATTGAAGCTCTCGCTTCATAGCTCTAAGGCGCCCTGGCACGACCTGCGCACGGCCTGGCGCCCTGGCGTAGCCTGCACGCGGCCTGGCACATGCGCCAACCTGGCGCGACCTGGCACGGGTGCCGACATGGTGGCCTGACCCAGGCGCAAACTTACGGACTAAAAAGGCACCAGCCTCAGAAACAAGTAATCAAGCTCTAGCTCCTAGACTATGATCTCTAACTCGCAGTCTACTATGAGAGTACTAACTTAGCCATCGGAGTGACCTTGTCTGGTTAGCCACCCCGGGTCCTCTGATATTTAGTTCCTTGTAGGTCTCTAAAGAGCAACAAATCTCATCAATCCAGCTCGGCACAAGAAGACACAGTCGCCTCTCCAGCATGGGCAAAGTACAAGAGTGGACTACAGGTCCCTCCCAAAGCCTAAGGGCCACAATACTGCTGAAAGACCCAGTCGCCTCTTCGGCATGGGCAAAGTACAAGAGTGGATTACGGGTCCCTCCCAAAGCCTAAGGGCCACAATTCTGCTGAAAGACCTAGTCGCCTCTCCGGCATGAGCAAAGTACAAGAGTGTACTACAGGTCCCTCCCAAAGCCTAAGGGCCACAATATTGCTGAAAGACCCAGTCGCCTCTTCAGCATGGGTAAAGTACAAAAGTGGACAATGGGTCCCTCCCAAAGCCTAAGGGCCGCAATAATGTCGAAAGACCCAATCGCCTCTCTGGCATGGGCAAAGTACAAGAGTGGACTACGGGTCCCTCCCAAAGCCTAAGGGCCACAATTCTGCTAAAAGACTCAGTCGCCTCTCCAGCATGGGCAAAGTACAAGAGTGGACTACGGGTCCCTCCCAAAGCATAAGGGCCACAATATTGCTGAAAGACCCGGTCGCCTCTCCGGCATGGGCAAAGTACAAAAGTGGACTACGGGTCTCTCCCAAAGCCTAAGGGCCGCAATATTGCTGAAAGATCCAGTCTCCTCTCCGACATGGGCAAAGTACAAGAGTGGACTACGGGTCCCTCCCAAAGCCTAAGGGCCACAATACTGCTGAAAGACCCAATCGCCTCTCCG